AGCGGGAGCAGCATAGTTTTTCCGGAAAAGCAGCTGATTTCTTACAGTAGATCGTCAGTGCTTTTCCGGAAATTCAAGGGGCCAGTGTAGACAGCTCGCAGCTTATTCCAGAAAAGCGGCTGATTTTCTGGAATAAGTGGCCCAGTGTAGACACAGCCAATGTGTGGTACCAAACCCAACGCCATAGAGAAGTCTCTCTCTCTCTCTCTCTTTCTATATATATATATCACCTTTACCAGCCAAACAAGTAATCTCATCAAGATACCTAGTTAATTAGACAGGATCTATTTTCCATAAAGCTGTATTGATGTGTATTAATTACAGTATCCTGTTAGAATTCTTTATTATAGAGTCCTGTGTTAGTGATTCCATTATCTTGCCCAGGATCGATATTAGACAGAGAGGCATATAATTACATGTGTCATCCTGAATATAGGAACAATACTAGCTGTTTCCAGTCTTCAGGAGCTTCCCCAGTGCTTTATGACTTTACTGAAAATTAACATTGATGATAAGCCTTAGTCCCCTCTTTTAAAACTCTTGAATGCAAAGGATCTGAACCTACTGAGGTTAAAATGTCTAACTTTAGTAGCCTTCATTTATCATCTTCCTGCAAGGAATGGAAAGAGCATGATCTTATGATAAAATGATGTCTGGGTTTTTCCTCACATGCAGAACAAATACCGATTGAACACTTCTGCCTTTTCTGCATTATTACTGATAATATTAAAATGGTCCATCTAGTAATGGACCAGTGCCATGGTCAACATTCTTTTTGTTCCTAATACATTTTTAAAACTCCTTTTTATTTTCCTTTTTTTCTGCTGGCCATAGATTTCTTCTTGTGTCACTTTGCTTCTCATAACAATTGGCCACAATTCCTAAATTCTGAAATATATTCTTTACCATGAACTTCCCCTTTCTTCCATTTGTGTTATTATTTTTATAGCTGCTTTAATTTTCTCCTCTAAATGAGGGTTGGTTTCTTTTTAACCAGTACAATCTTCTTTCTTGATGGTGGGATTATACTTTTTGGGGCATGGTTGTGAGGCGGTTGCCCCACTGTGGCAGGGAAGGGGTTAACACAGGCTGGAGGGAACCTGTGCAGAGCCCAGGCCAATTAGAGAAGGATTAGAGGGAGCCAATGAGAGAGAAGCTTGCTGGAGCAGCCCTGTTTATAAGGAGTTGCTCAGCAGAGCAGAGGGCAGTTAGTGCCTGACCAGGGAGAATGCAGGACTAGTTCCCAGGGAGGCACTTTAGAGAAAGCAGTGGTGGGCAGGTTTTAGGGAGCTAGCTAGAGAGAGGGAGGCTCTAGTCTGACACCTACCAGGCTGCAGGCCTCGACGCAAGGGCCAGGTTGGTGCAGGAGAAATGGCTCATGGAACAGGAGGCAGTAGAAGGGTAGAAAAGAAGGGCAGGACATGGCTGCTGCCACAGGGTCCCTGGCCTGGGACCCAGAGTAGCAGGTGGGCCTGGGTCTTTCCCTTTCCCCTTGCACCTCACATAGCTATACTGATGAGTGGCCTTTATGGACTGTGGCTTGCCCTGAGGTGAGGGGCTAGACTGAGGCTGCCGTTGGCGTGAGGGTGACTGTTGACTCCCTTGGAATGGGGAGTGAGAGACCCGTGGGGTGGGCACTGCTGGGGGGCAGTGTCCTGAAGAGGGTTCCAAGATCCTGCGAGTGACATGGGTCCAAACCAAAGGGCGGCGGGAGCATAGAGATAGTGACAACAGGAAAGACACCAGCCAGAAGAGTGTCTTGCTGACTGTAAGAGCTAATTCCTGAGTGACCAGCAGGTGGCGCCAGGGCAGTGAGTCTTGACCCCATTACAGGCCTCTAGTAAGTTATTCTTAAGTTTCCCAATTATCATTCACATTTTTTTCTGTTAAATATTTCCTCTCAGATAGTTTGGTTCCTAATTGTTTTTGGCGTTGTGACGCAGGCCCTATGGGTATGTCTACACTTGCACCCTCTTTTGAGAGAGGGATGCAAATGAAGACATTCAAAATTGCAAATGAAGCCGAGATTTAAATATCCCGCACTTCATTTGCATATTCATGTCATGGCACTATTTTGAAATAACAGACACTGTTAAGACACAGTTATTTCGAGAGAAGGGGTTTCCTCATACAATGAGGTTTACCAGTTATTTCGAGAGAAGGGTTTTCTCTCAAAATAACCGCATCTTAACAGCATCTGTTATTTCGAAATAGCGCCATAACGTGATTATGCAAATGAAGCCTGGGATATTTAAATCCCGGCTTCATTTGCAATTTCAAATGTCTTCATTTGCATCACTCTCTTGAAGGAGGGTGCAAGTGTAGACATACCCATATATTAAAGTTGTGTTTATGTGCACACGCATGCACATAATTACTGAAAGGGATGTTTTTCCTGTTTTCACACTGTAAATGTAATCAAGTCATGACCACTTCACCTAAGCGACCCTTAATTTTTAATTCTGTGGTCTTGCCTTCTTTTGCAGTGAAAACAAGTTCTCATGAAGAATTCCCTCCTGTTAGCTAAAACTTATTTTGAGAAACTGTCCTCTGTAATGTTGAGCACTTCCCACAATGCTTCAGTAATGGCAGCATGGGAGCTCCAGCATTTGTTGCTCATATTGATGTTATCCATCTTGTTGTTTCAGTCTTAGGGCACTGAGTCATAAGCATTCAAATTCCAAGTTGTTAGTGCCTCGGAAAAAAGGTCCTCCTCTTTTTGATGAGTACCAGTCCCCTGCCCCTTTTGTCCACTCAGGTCTTCCTAAATACAAAATAGCCATTGCTTTTAACATTCCAATAGCGTGACTCATCCCACCAGAGTTCAGTAATACCAACTACATCAAATCTGTGCTCATAAATAAGCAATTCCTATTCTTCTTGTATGTTAACTAGGCTTCTGGTATTTGCGGATAGGTGGTTAAAGAATTTCTTCTCTTCGTGTCCTTATATTCCTTGTGCTGAGTTCTCATATCTTCCTTTTTTTTTACCCTCCCTTCTTGATATTGGTTTAACATTTAACCTCCCTGTCCCTGAACGGATTGGCCCCTCTTCTACTGAGATGGAGGCCGCCAAACTAAACAGCTCAATCTCACCATCGAAGGTGAACCAATGTTCTACAAAAGCCAAACCCTCCACTTTCCACCCCTAACCTAACCTGTCATTCACTTCTGGTCTCTTCTGCCTACCTTTGCTCAGGGGACTGAAAGAATCTCTGAGAAGACAGGAGACTGCTGAAGAAGAAGTCCAAACTGAGTTCCCTGACGTCATCTATTATCTGCAAGGTGGAGATTGGTGAACCGTCACCAGTGGATCCTTAGAAATTGACTTCAGAAGCCTATACCATGTAGAGCAGTGGTCCCCAACACGGTGCCCGCGGGGCCATTTGTGTGCTCCCGCCAGGTGCTCGGGGCTGGCTTGGCCCCAGGCACATGGCGCGGCGCTTGCGGGGAGCGTCGGCCCCGGGCGTGCGGCTATGGGGGGGGCGCCCCCTGGCGCGCAAGTGTCCCCGCCCCCTGGCACCCGGCAGGCGAACGGCAACCACAAAAGGTTGGGGACCACTGCTCTAGACCTTTAATCATTCTTGTCGCTCTTCTCTT